GCAAGCAGCTATATCCTTCCCAGCTCTTTCTGGATGTCTCTAACCTGACTAAAATTGTTTTTGGAAGGAGGCAAGGCATCTTTTAACTTTTTTTTTTTTTTTTTTAAAGACTGGGATTCACTCTGTCTCCCAGGCTGCAGTGCAGTGGTGTGATCTTGGCTCACTGCAACCTCTGCCTACTAGGTTCAAGTGATTCTCCTGCCTCAGCTTCCCAAGCGGGTTGACTTTTTGATACCAGACAGTAAGCTTGGATTAAGTATTTTCTATAATAATGCTCATTCATTCATTCATCCTGTAAGCATCCACTTCAGGCTGTGGGCTGGGGTGAGGGATTCAGCCATCCAGGACAGGACCTGGAATTTGTTGTGCGACTTTTGACATCCTCCCTCTCCTCCTCCTGTAAGAAAGTCAACAAGACCTGCTTACTGGCCACCTATTACTGAAAGGAAACTGAACCTCCAGTTAGTGTCCTGCCCAAGGTCTCAAAGGTAGTTAAGTGATAGAGCTAGGCCCAGGCAGCCAGTTGCCTCCTTGAGAGCACAGGTGTGGCAGAGTCATGGCTGGTGCTGGAGGGTTGACGGGCCTGTCCCACTGCTGCTGTATGCAGATGAATGTGGGCTCTGGGGGAGATAAGACCACCAAGGGACTAGTGTGGCCTGGAGATTCCAGTGGGTGGGCGGTCTCTCCCCAAGGCTGGTCTAGGCCCACACTTACTCCTGGGGTGGGTCAGATGCTGTCCTGCCCTCCAGTGTCCCAGAAGGAGGGGGATAGCCAGCAGGCCTGCTTGTTATGAGCCTCCCCACTTTTAGAAAGATCAAGCTGATTCCCACAGCCCTGAAGCCCCTTGGTGGCTTCTGGGAGCCACTGTGGTAGCCTCACCTGTGCCTCTTCCTGCTGTCTTGCCAGGGGAGGACCATGCCATCGGCCTTGCTCTCCACGCAGGTGAGATCAGGCCACCAGGCCTCTGGCTTTTGACTGGTGTGTCCAACCCAAGCCCTCTGCCGAGTGCCTGAGGAAACAGGTGGTATAACAGACCTCACTCAAGGTGGTTATGAAGACCTGGTAGGGTGGGGTGTGGCCCAATACTTTGGAAGACTCTAGAACGGCCATCCTGGCCCTAGTACACATTTGTGCCAAGGCAGGTACCCTGTCCCTCAGCACGTGGGAAGTGGCAGCAGGTAGCAAGACAGTTTCCAGGTGACAGCATGAGGGCAAGGGAGGCCTAGAGAGATGGGAAGGGTCTGGTGCCTCCAGCCTGTCACGTTCCTACCAGGTGGGAGAAAGGGGGGATCCTCAGGTAAGCGGGAGTCAGGGAGGGCTGTGTGCCCCCACGAGGCTGGTGTTTCATCTCCACTTCACAGATGAGGGGACTGTGGCTCAGAGACCTTTGCAGGGGGACTGATCACAGCATAGGGCCCTCTGAAGGGAGCCTGGGACTGCATTTCTGTGCGGGCCCTGGGTGGAACTGGAACCGGGCTGGCTTTCCTGGCTCCTAGCCTTTTGGCTTCCTCACGTTCTTGGCCTTCTTTTCACAACAAACTCAGAAGCAGCCGAGTAGCTGGTTGTGTTGTCTGCACATGCACCAAAGCATGTTTCATTTTGGCTGTGACATTCCTTTGTTGTCCCTGTCTTGTAATTAGCATAGTAGGTTGGTTATAGTATGCAGAATTTCACTGAAGGATGGTAAGGAAACTTGTGACAAAATGAGCAATAGTTCTTTAAGGCTGAGAGAAGCTCGGGGTATACCCAGCAGCTGGGCCACTCGGAGGGGACTGTCATGCTATCACTACTGTAGTGGGAACCAAGCAGGCTTTCCTCACCGACCTGTTAACAGCTGTTCAGGTCAGGCCTTTTCCTTGTACTAGCTCACCTCATGAAAAATGAGCTCTGACTTACTTACAGATGACAACTAAGCCATGGAGGGTAAAACCCCTTGTCCAGGGTTGTGGAAGAAGTGGCAGGGTCAGGGCTGAACCTTAAAACCTAGATGGTAGGGCTGGGCATGGTGGTTCACACCTATAATCCTAGCACTTTGGGAGGATGAGGTGGGCAGATCACCTGAGGTCAGGAGTTTGAGACCAGCCTGGCAAACACGGTGAAACCCCATCTCTACTAAAAATACAAAAATTAGTCGGGCATGGTGGTGGGTGCCTGTAATCCCGGCTACTCGGAAGGCTGAGGCAGGAAAATTGCTTCAACCCAGGAGGTGGAAGTTGTAGTGAGCCAAGATTGCACCACTGCACTCCAGCCTGGGTGATATAAAGTGTCGAGACTTCATCTCAAAAAAAAAAAAAAAAAAAAAAAAAAAATCCTAGATGGTAAAAGAACTGTAACATCTGGGATAAAGTTAGCTGTAGAAATAAACATAAGTCTTACTGTTGGGGCTGTGTCAGAGCTGGCCTGCATGGCTTTGAGATTCCTAGCAGCCAGAGCAAAGAAAGAAATGGATTATTCCCACTGGAGCCACAGTGGCCATAACAAATAGAAGCCATCTGTCTGGATGTTGGGAATGGAGAAGACTTGCTCCCCAGAAATAGACGCTGCAAGATGTGGTAGGTGATATTTCTACTGTCAAATGTCAGTAGATACCTGAAATGATTTGGCCACTTTGGTCACCCAACCACAGTATGACTCAAGCTGGGTCCAGGGAGCAGCTATTGCTGACCTGGCTTGACTTTTGAGGCAGGTGGAACAGTGGGCACATGAGGAGGAACTGAAGCCGCCACAGCTACTGACACAGCCCCCAGGTTTGAGCTTGGTTCTCCCATCACCCGTCCCCTCATAGCTTAATGGGCATCTGGTGGTCCTTCCCTGCAGTGGCCAGAGTCCTGTTGTGGGCTGTCCAGGCTGAGGATTTGGCTGCAGCAGGGGTAGTCCCGCCCCCATGTGCCCAGAAGTTGTAACCTGGCCGGAGCCTCTGGCATAGGACACTCATGCCACCAGGAATGTCAGTGGCGGACCCCATCTCTGATACTCGGCAGGCTTGGGTTGAGATTGTAGTTCTAGGCCAGACAAACGTGGAGCTGGGGCAGCTCTCCCGGGCTGCTGTGCAGAGTCGGGAAAGAACCCCTAGTGGGTGGCAGCCAGGCTGGCTGTGGGTGAGGAGGGGAATCCTCTTTTTACCACTGCCTGCCTGCTCAGCATTTCCTCAGCTGCTGGGGGTGGAGCCAGCTTGCAGGGGCCAGAGTCAGAGTGAAACCAGCAGCTCTGCTGGTTAATCTCAGCACACACACTGGGGACTAGGCCTGGAGTGGAACTGAAAGGGAAACCAGGCCTGTTCCCCTCCAGGCCTGGCCTACTTCCTCCCAGTGATCCTTAAGGCCTGCAGCCAGCGGGGAGGGTGGGGGCCAGGCAGGGACAACTGGAAAAGTAGCCGAAGGAAGTGGCCACTTGCACCTTACCCATCTTGCAGACAGGAAATGAAGGTTCTGTAGGGCTGGCTGGCTGTGAAAATGGACAACGGTACAGAGGCCCCACTCCCCGCACACTGTGCTGTTCCCATTGCCCATGTGGATGCCATGCGAGGCCTCATTCTGCCTGCCCCATCCTGGCTGGTGCTGGTCATTTCAGGCTGGAATTTTCTTTTTTTCTTTTTCTTTTTCTTTTTTTTTTTTTTGAGATGGACAGGCTAGAGCACAGTTCAAGCAATTCTCCTCCTCAGCCTCTCAAGAAGCTGGGATTAGAGGTGTATGCAACCATGCCCAGCTTTTTTTTTTTTTTTTTTTTTGGTACTTTTAGTAGTGATGGGGTTTTACCTTGTTAGCTGGGCTGATCTTGAACTCTTAAACTCAGGTAATCTGCCCGCCTGGGCCTCCCAGAGTGTTGGGATTCATTGCGCCTAGTCCAGGCTAGAATTTTCTAGTCTTTCAGCTTTCTAGCGAGAGGACACAGTACGCCGTGGCCAGTGTTGGTCACTCCTGCAGTTGTTACTCTCCCCCAGCCTGTTGTGTTCACCAACCAGAGCAGACCCAGGAGCTCCCAGGAGACCTGCTGGCAGGGACCCAAGTGGGGCCAGGCTGCCCTCTCACCTCACGGTTCATTGATTCTCCTGCAGAGGGGTTAAGGGAAGGAGAAAGGAAGTGGCCAGGCCACTGGTCATGATCCTTCCATCAAAGGTACCTGGCACCTCTGTGTCTAAAGCATCTGGTTTTGGGGGTCAATTCAATAGCACAAGCAGCTCCAGTCCAAGCTGTGCCCTTGTGGTCCAAGGTACAGGTCAGATCACCTGAAGCCACAGTTGCTGGAACATCCTTTGGGCCTGCCTCTGCTTTCCATTCCCCTGCTCCTGGTTTGTTAGGGGCTGTGGTATTTTATAGGAACATCTGGATGGAGGGGGCCCAGTGGGGCCACTTTTGTCTATTCCTCATCTCTGGCTGGCTTCCCTTTTCTTACCGTCTTTTGGTCATCTTTTCAGGAGGAAGGGGAGGTTTGCCCCTCCTCAGCAGATTCCCACCTGGAAGCAGTTGGCTTCTTGGCTTTAGAGTGCCCCAGCACTGGAAGCATCTGCAGGGTCAGTTGAGACCTGGGAGCGGTGCTCCTACCCGCAAAGGAGTTCCTACCCACCCTGCAACCCTACGAGCCGGGCACCCTGGGAGGGTCCAGGGCCAAGATTTTGTTGTGTTCCAGTGGCTAGCCCCTGCCCCTTTGGACTTGGTGTGATGAGAGGGTAAGTAGCTGGCATCACCTGGCTGGGCAGGGACCTCTTTGCTTACCAGTGGAAAGAGGAACGATGTCAGACACATGGCAGAGCAGGAATGTCCCCAGGTCCAGGTCCAAAGGGCTGGGAGGGCTGCCTTCTGCCAGCACATGCTTCTTGGGATCTCAGTGTGAATGGTGTTCAGGAGGCTAGGGGAAGGCACTACAGGCTCAGAACCTACACAGCAACACCACAGACACTCTCTGCAAGGGGGATTACTGGGGAGATCATGGACAAACTCAGGCCTGGCTGGAAAGAAAAAGCATCAGGAACAAGCCTTCAGTGCGCCATCTTGGTCTCATAGAGTTCAAGGCCCAAGCTACAAGCAGCTTGCTCCAACATCCAGGAGGTCCGGCGGTGCACACGCCTTGAGATGCCTGACAACCTCTACACCTTTGTGCTAAAGGTGAGTGACATGGCTTTCCACACCCTGGGGCAATACAAATCCATACACATACGTCAGATCCAATGCCGTTCCCTTCCTTCTTGCTAGGTGAAGGACCGGACAGACATCATCTTTGAGGTGGGAGACGAGCAACAGCTGAATTCATGGATGGCTGAGCTCTGGGAGTGCACAGGCCAAGGGTGAGGCCCCAGATCCTCGCCCCTGGCACAACCTTTGCTGCTACCACCCCTGACCTGCCCAGATCCTTAACCTCAGCCTCTTCTCCAGCAGGCTGGAGAGCACAGAAGCAGAGATGCATATTCCCTCAGCCCTAGAGCCCAGCACATCCAGTTCCCCAAGGGGCAGCACAGATTCCCTTAACCAAGGTGAGTAAACCAATGTATAGGCCATTGTCTTCTGGGTACAGTGGAACCCACACTCGGCCCAGGACCACCATCACCCATCTTCTCTTAACAGGTGCTTCTCCTGGGGGGCTGCTGGACCCAGCCTGCCAGAAGACAGACCACTTCCTGTCCTGCTACCCCTGGTTCCATGGCCCCATCTCCAGAGTGAAAGCAGCTCAGCTGGTACAACTGCAGGGTCCTGATGCTCATGGCGTGTTCCTGGTGCGGCAGAGCGAGACGCGGCGTGGGGAATACGTGCTCACTTTCAACTTCCAGGGCATAGCCAAGGTATGGAGTGGGGCAGGGCAGGCGGGACCGTGCCTCCTCTCCCCACTGGAGTTCAGGGCCCTAGAGGGACAGTCCGAGCCCACCGTCCTCTCCTCCCCCAGCATCTGCGCCTGTCACTGACCGAGAGGGGCCAGTGCCGTGTGCAGCACCTTCACTTTCCCTCGGTCGTGGACATGCTCCACCACTTCCAGCGCTCGCCCATCCCGCTCGAGTGCGGCGCCGCCTGTGACGTCCGGCTTTCCAGCTACGTGGTAGTTGTCTCCCAGCCACCAGGTCTGAGCCTACTGCCCTTTGCTAAAGGGGATGGCGGGCACAGGGAAACTGGGTGAGGGTAGAGGCTTCCTGCAGACCCAGGGTTACAGGGATCTTGTTCTGTGTCCTGTCAGCACTTGCATCAACACTGACGGTATGGTCTCTTTTGGTCACTTGTTCTAGGTTCCTGCAACACTGTCCTATTCCCTTTCTCCCTCCCTCGCTGGGATTCAGAGTTGGGCCTTTCCCACCTTAGCTCCTCTGGTTGTCCCCAGGGGCTCAGCCCAGAGGGTCTCCCTGGGCGATCCTCACCCCCAGAGCAGATCTTCCACCTGGTGCCTTCGCCCGAAGAACTGGCCAACAGCCTACAGCACCTGGAGCCTGAGCCTGTGAGTCGAGCCCGGGACTCGGACTATGAAATGGACTCATCCTCCCGGAGCCACCTGCGGGCCATAGACAATCAGTACACACCTCTCTGACAGAGGAATTCCAGGCCTCAACAGATGCCCTTGAGGAGCACAGGCAGAAGTGTGAACTTGTGAATGTAATGATTTTTCCTTCCTTCCAGAGAGATTTAAGGGACACTGCTAACTGCTCATGCCAGTTTGGACGTGACCCTTCTATTAGGCCTGTTGAAGGGCCCTCCTGTAAGTTGTATCTATCACCTGGCTTTCTCCTTATTGTTTACAGATATAGTTCTTGTTAGAGGATGCCGCTAGCTCATGCCCAGGGTCCCTATGCCTAGTCCCCATTAGAGAAAGGAGTTGGGGTGAGGGCCAGAGCTGGCAGTGGAAACTTGTTCTCTTTTTCACTGACACGGTCACAGCTGATGACAGACTTTCTACAGGAAGAGGGGTCATCAGGAAGTCCAGAACACTAACAAGCCCTGGATTCTCATGGTCCTCCGATCTACTGTCAGTCCATGTGGCAGGTCTGTTGTGTCCACGCCACAGATGACCACATCTAATCTGCTTCTACTCTCAGCTTTAGGACAAAATCTGTCAGAGGGGCAAGCTAAAGGTCAAAAATGATTTTAAACATTTTACCTCAGACTAATTTCTTTAAGGAATTCAGGTTCAAAAGTAAACCATTGCTTATTTCACTGCACTGTTTCAACTAACACCCATGCAATTTTTGTAGTTGGAGACAGCTATGCAAACCCTGCCTGACTGGTTCACGGTCTGAGCCAGAATGCTAGCTTCCTTGTCTACTGCAGTCTCAGGACAGTTACCTGCCGCTGAGTGGCCACTGTCCTTCCCAAATGTCAAGAAGTGAAGTGTGTCACCCTTTCAGGGAAATTCAGGCAATTACTGAAAAATGGAGGGTGGCAAGGAACAGTTCTACCCTGGTGCCTTATGAATAAAAAACTGGATTCTGGTTTACAGCAGCTTTACAGTGAGAGTTAAATTAACTGAGGTTGGGGGAAGAACAAGTAAAAACGGAAGGAGGACTCCTGAGCGCTTTATAGTAAATCTTTCAGCAACAAGGCTGGCTCTGCACCCTCCAAGCATCTAATGGCTTATTGAATTATCCCACAAGTGGGTTTTAGGCTCCTTTTTTTTGAGCCAAAATGGAAGCTGGGAATCTGGTGCCATAACTATTGAGAAACTCATTTAATAGCCCACATTCAGTGTTCTGTTCCAGCTGGCTCCTGCTTCATTGGATGGAGAATGTATCTCCATGCACACACAGGCACACACAATCTCCACCACCCAGGGAGGTCCTGAAGTTAAATCTCCATCTATACTTGCTTTCACAAGTGATACAATTCATAGGGGGGCTGGCTCCTCCCAGAACCTTTGGAGGTTCAAAAAGAAGGGAGCACTGACAGTGGAGTCAGCTGCTCTTGGGTGCCAGCAGAGCCTTTCAGTACAACCCCCCAGGTTCACTGCAGTGTCTCAATCAGAGGCTAATGAAACCTCGACCTAAAACTTACAGGACTGCCTGCCTGCCCGGGAGGAGGGTTAGGTCTGTTCCTTTCACTTAGTCTCTGTACTCCAAGAGGTCAGATTTTTGCTTCTAGGCTTCTAGAATTTTCTTGGGATCTTTCAGAGGGTGGGGAAAGAGTCCCCTCTGTACCACCTTTTTTTTTTTTCTTCTTTTCTTTTGAGATGGAGTTTCACTCTTGTTGCCCAGGCTGGAGTGCAGTGGCATGCTCTTAGCTCACTGCAACCTCAGCCTTCCTGGTTCAATCAAGCGATTCTCCTGTCTCCTGAGTAGTTTACACACATGCTTACTATGCTCAGCTGCTTTTTGTGTTTTTAGTAGAAATGGGGTTTTGCCATGTTGGCTAGGCTGGTCTTGAACTCCTGACCTCAGGTGATCCACCCACCTTGGCCTCCCAAAGTGCTGGGATTATAGGTGTGAACCACCGTGCCTGGCCTGCACCACTTTTTATTTAACTAAGTGATTTATTTATTTTGAGACGGGGTTTCACTCTTGTAGCCCAGGCTGGAGTGTGATGGCACGATCTCAGCTCACTGAAATCTCCGCCTCACAGGTTCAAGTGATTCTCCTGCCTCAGCCTCCCAAGTAGCTGGGATTACAGGCATGCGCCACCACACCCGACTAATTTTTTTTTTTTTTTTTTAATTAGAGCTGGGGTTTCACCGTGTTGGTCAGGCTAGTCTCGAACTCCTGACCTTGTGATCTGCCCATGTCGGCCTCCCAAAGTACTGGGATTACAGGCGTGAGCCACCACGCCCAGCGCCTGCACCACTTTTAATACCAACACTCCTGGGTGATCGTGGACCTTAAAGCAGACCCCACACTGATCCAGATTTGCAGTCCATTTTTAAGAACACCTGTCTTTATAAAGTCAAGCAGCTTTCTCTGAAAAATGAATGCTAACTAGTGTGAACGGAAAGAGTAAGTAACAGTCTGAACCTTTTTTAAAGAACTTTTTTAAAGTTTATCATGGAAAATCACTGGTCCTCCCCACTGCACAGGACAAGTGTCCAGTAGATAATAAACCAAATTAAGTTCCCTCCCTCTAGCCAGAAGTTAAACACCTGGGATACGACATCTTCACACCAGGAGCACTCATTTCTTAGCAGCCGCTCTACATACATCTCTCAGGTAGTGCCAAGATACAGCAGATCCAGCAAACTTAGCAGACTGTACTTAGCCATCTGACTGGCTGCAAAGTGCAAGCTCAGATTCTGTGGCAGAGATTTGGAAGGCACCCTCTTCCAGACTGCTAACTTTCTAAACTCATCCAAGTTACCAGGACAGCTCAAATACATGCTGACAGAAAACTCTCATGGCACTAGGAAGAAGTGACACTAAGCCAATGCCATTTCTTTGCGTGGGAGCAGGCCCACCTGATGAAGAGGTGGGCAGCAGTGTGGGGCAGGCACCCCACTGGCTGCAGCTAGCCCACCACAGGCACAGGACAGCACACCCCACCACTCTCCTTCCAGTCCTGACCAGGCCCAGTCAGCAACTTCCACCAAGAGCCATGGCTCAGCGTCAAACTAGACAGTAGGCATCATGATCCCTCCAGTTAGCTCTAATCACAGATTCCACCAGTACAGCTTGACAGCTCCTGGCACCATCACTTCCTTCATCTGTTATTCAACTTTTACAAACTAACAGTCACCAGCACCAAAGAATTAAGTCAACTAACCTGCCTTGAATTTTAGACCAGCAATCCATATGGCTTTATCTGGTATAAATCTTCTGCCTTTGATCATTTCTGGACCATAAGAAAAAGGAATAGCAATCATTAAAATCTTGGGCCAGAGAACACTATTTTTACGTAACAGTTTCTTAACCTAAAATCAAGGCCTTGGACTCTTCCCTGAGGGTTGCCTGAGATTCCTTCATGCTTTCTATTCAGGGCTAAGTCCCTTACTGCAAATGTGTTAGCTCTAACATCACCCACAAGCTAGAGGAACTTGTGAGTACATTAACAAGGACACATCTGACATCCAGTGTTTGGTTATAATATACAGCACATTGTGATAACACAAAGTGGATTCATCTTGTATCATTATAGGCAGAAGGTATTCGGCAAATTTTTATGTATTGTTTTATGTACTGTACAAGTAACTTATTCTTGAATAATGCAAATTTTGCTATAATGTACAAATTGCTATATGTGAATTAAAAAGTTTTCAGAATCTTGATTTGCTGTCACAATATTTAAAACTCTATTAAAACCATGGTTGCTCTATAAAATCCTCGCCCTTCCCGAATACTTGCCCTTCCCTTTGTCCTTCCCGATGCAATCTGGGAATATTAACAAATGCTTATGAGTCCATGTCAATAAGCAGCTTTGTACATCTTTTCAGCCTTCCTGCCCTCTGGATTTCTTTCTTGCAATTTTTTTCTGAGTGTCTCCTGCCCCCTACTGGTAAAATAGAAAGATGCCTGAATTGGGAACTTCCAGCTAATTAATACTCATTTTGGTTCAGGAGATATTAAAAAGGAAGCTTACAGAATCGGTGTCAGCCCGAGGATGTGGAATTTCAGTGCTGCCCAACTCTGGCCAACCTTCCTCCTCCTGAAGCAGATCTCTAATCCACCAAAGAGAATAGCTCAGTCTTGTCTTTTTCTAGAGATACCTTGAACCAGAACTAAAGATGAAGAAGAAAAATCATTTGACAGCTACCTTCCGGGACATTCAAAATGCACACTTAGCGCACCTGCTTTGATATTAAGTATCCTACAATAGAAGTAGCTTATACAGACACACACTAACTTGGTCAGTTTTTAAAACTTTTTTTATTTTTTAATTTTTTTTTTAGTTTTTATTTTATATTATCTACAAAGTAAAAGTTTTCCCTTAACTTAAAAGTTGAACCACTGTAGACAGTGATCACCTCATCAAACTTGATTTATAAATAATAATCCGTCAGTTTGACGGTAAGAATTTACTGAACCTTTGTCAAGTTTAGTAAAAGGGCGTTCCAAGTCTTGATTTTTTTTTTTTTTTTTTTTTTTTTTTTTTTTAGCAGTAATAGCAGCAAGAATCACTCTTGTTACTTCTGTTGCTAGCTGATGTGTTCATGACTTTCAAGGGTTATTAAAAAATAAATAACTTCCAGTTTCGGCAAGCAGAGCTGGGGTACCTGCGGGACTTTGAAACAGCGTATGGAATTATGGAATAGCCCCAAGTTCCTAAATGCCTCTACTCGGTCCAAGTATCTTCCACTGCAAGTGAACTGTTAGCATTCCTATTGGATGTTACAAGAAATCAACATATATATTTTAAAAACAAAATAAATGAAATTCTAGTTTTCTGTGCTTCCAGTTGGTAGAAGCAGTAGGAGGGAGGAGGGAATTTGGCCTTTCGGTTCCTCCAGGGCAGCCTTACAACTGCTGTTGGTGGTGGGCTTGTACTGTAAAAAGAAAAGCGAACATTGAAACAGAAAACTGGTAACACCACACATCAGCCTAGTGTCTCTGCAGCACATGATTGTAAACTATACTTGTGCTAGCTGAACAAGACTCAAAATTGAATTCATTTTTCCCCCCTCCCAACTGTACCAAAGCGGGGAGGGGTGGGTAGGTGGGTAGAAACAAACCGGTCAGACGTAAAACCACTTCAGATAAAACTCCCAAAAGATCTGTTCCTAGGGTAGAAAAAAAGGCCTTAACAACCCCCCTCCCCAAATATTAATCAAGCACCAGTATTGCTTTCAGAATAACAGGTCAGACTGTGAAGTATCACCATGGCACCCATCAAGTAGTAGAGCACAATCACAGGGCTCTCTCCCCCCGTCAGGGCATAGGCTGGGGCCAACGCTACACTCAAAGCCAGTCCATCCACAGCACTTTCTCAGCAGTATCTTCTCCAGAGCTACAATCAAACTCTGCCATAGTAATAACCCCCCACATGTCAGACTTTTGGGACTCAGGAAGAAAAACACTGCCCTGTCCAGCCTATGGTAACAAAGAAGGCCAACTGAGTCCTAGGCATGCATCAGCTACACAGAATGCTGCTGCTGCTGCTTCTCATCAAGCCAAATCCTGTATACCAGCAGAACACACACAGACTCGGCTCCCGGAAGCCTCAGGCCCTGACACTGAACTGATCATCACAGTCCCTCCTGTGCACACTCCTGATCAGGTCTTGCTAGTTCTCAAATGCGGGGCTTGAAGCACTGGCCCTGCCTACCATTCTACCTGTGCGAGCAGAATGCTTTGGGGTGCCCCGGCGGCCCCTGCACACACACGCCTCACCTGAAGGGTGCGTCATATAGGGGAAATGCGCTGTTGTCGAGACTGGAATGGGCTGTAGTGCACTTTGAGCGAGGGCGGCCTGGGGACCGCCGGGTGGCTGTGTCGTCATTAGCATCATTGGCGCATGGGCAGTTGGATGAGAAGGAACCATTCCTGACTGTACATGAGCCTGAAACAGAGAGCTCTTTTACGCATACAGGCAACATCGGCTTAAACAACATGTCAACTGCGTTCCTTTCACTGGGCTGGGACTCTCAGGAAAGGGCAACGGTGGGCCTCAGGGCCCAGTTCTGTTCTCAGGGACACTCTCTAGTGGACTATCTATTGACCTAAAGATGTGCTTCACCTTTGGGCAGATCCTGCAAGGGTCAGGGAACAGGCACCAAGTGAGCCTGGGTAAAAGTCAGGGCTGTGCTGTCCTAGCCCTCGACATTTCTGATCATTGTATTCTACGTATAGGGTAAGGTCTTCACAAAGATTAGACTCCTGATCCAAGGACAGCTTTCTCAATATCATACAAGATGCAAGACGCTTTAGAATCAGGCTGCCATGTGGGGCCTCAGGTAGTTTTGCAAATAACATCCCTTTCAAATAGAAAAGCAGATTACTACATGAATAAGCAGAGACTCACAGTCCAGTATGTGGATTACTTGGACCTCTCTTCATTTGCCTCTCTCCCTCTGCTTCTGGCCTGCTCACCAGGCAGTGAAAACAGACTCTTAAGCCCCCATGACTCTCTCAGAGATATGCTAATGGAGCAAGAGGAGGAGGAGGAGTTGCAGTTTAATGGCTCCAGTGAGATGGAAAGGAGTAATCTGAAATCATCTGGGCCAGCCCAGTGTTTCTGTACCAAGCAGTAGTAAGTTCGACCTGGTCTCACTTGTTGGAGAAGTAATTTTAGTCAGCCCAAACAGCTGGATTTCAGCTCTGCAGGGGTTGGCAGGACCAGGAAGAGCCCTTTCCTTTGTTCCACACTGTACACTGTTCTAGAGCATGATAAGCCTTGGATGAAATGCCATTTTTACTCTCATATATTCAAATGGGCACATGGGATATTTGAGCTTCCTTGTATTAACCTTTTTGACCGTTCAGCACAAAAAATGTAGTGAGGTTTTAGGGATCCCTGACTTACATGTAAATTCACATGCCTACTTAGCCACCAGCCTCTGCTAGACACTTACAGGACCCCAGCTCATATGAAGCTGACTCCACCAAACCACGCTGGCCCACACGGACCAAACCGGCTTCCCTCCCCATCAAAAAGCAAATCAACTGCAGTGCGCTACACCACAGAACCTAAACTTTGCAGGGTGAGGACGCCCAAACTTCCCAGAGCTGTGGAACTCTACTTACAAGGTAGCCTTCTGAGAGATAGATCCAACTGAGTCGCATCTCTAGCCCACACCTTGCCAGAGCCTCACTGGCGCACTATTTAACAGGAAATGGAATTCATTGTGGCAGGTCTCACTTAGACCCGCCTCAGTTCTGTTATGAAAGTAGCAGAGACATCTAATACAGCCAATTCACCCATAACAGCCCCAGGAGGGCCTCGAGGCCAGCATTAGAGCCCAACTTCAGTGCAGCTCCTTCTCCTCATTAAGACAGTTCCCTGGGCCCTGGAGTGCAGGAACCTTTGTCAGCAGCTGATGCAGACAGCAACCACTGAGATGGCAAGCACACCTTTCACCTGTAGCAGCTTACACTGGAGGTGAGCTCCAAAGTGCTTCCAGGGCTGCTCTTAAAAGAGAAATGGGACCACCTAGGTGCTTCCAGCTTCTAGTTACACTGCACCAATGTCCAAGGCCAAGCTCTCTCAAGAGTACAACTTATGGTCAAAGCAGATATATGGATAACCAGGGAAAACAATTGGAAAGATGTGTCTGGAACTCATGTGAGTAACAATCAAGATGACAGGCCCCAGTAGTCACCTCGGAGGGCTAAGACTCTGTGAAGGCCGTCATCCCGGCCTGGCTTCCGAGGTTAAGTGTGTGGAGGGGGATATTTATGTACACATATAATATATAGTAGGCTATATAGACGTAGCAAAGCAGACACAGAAAGGAAAGAACTGGGTTGCATTCCAGAGTCAGGTATTTTTAAGGTCTCAGTTGGGAAAAACTAAAGGACTGACCAACCACCTTCACTGATCCCACTAGAAAACCACACAAACATTCCCTTAGGGCCAGATCATGTGTATTGGAGAGGGAAAGGGAGACAGGCAAATGGCATGACACACAGGGTTTCTTAGCTGGGAGAGCCTCTAGCTGCTTACCAATAACCTTCATATTCTACCTGGCCTTCACAGAAAGTTGGCTAAAGCTGGTTTACCTGAGGTACGTGGGCCATGTGGGGTGGATTGGTATACGCCGGCTGAACATGAGAAGGATGGATCGTAAAGACGGTCTGCTGTGCTGCTGGGAAACTATTCTGTGGCGACTGTGTGTTGGAGGCAGGTGTCATGGAGGGTGGGGTTGGCGCAAGCCCCGCGTGGTAAATGGCTGACTGCTGCTGTGGACTGGCCAGATGGAGAGCCTGGGCGGCCTGGTGCTGATGGTGCTGCAAAGCGATAGGAAAGAATTGAGAAAAAAACTTCTTTAATGAAAAGCAGCCAAGGAATACTCACAAAGCTGAGCTTTCAAATGTGGGCCTATGATGAGGGGCACTGCAAAGTACAGGGGGGAATATACAGGGTGGTAAGAACAAGGCTGGAAATGCCTCCCATCTGGACATTCCTTTCTGGGTTGCAGAAGCCTGATTCTCAGCCTGGCAGTTAGAAGCTTCTAATCATGCTGAAGTCAAACAAGACTACTGCCCCAGAGAACTGATAGATATCAGAGATCTTTAATTGCCTTGCCTCTATTAGCAAACATGATTCAAGAAGCTCACAGGAAAGTAACCTAATTACATAAACCTTAGGAATTAAAATTTTAAAGTCCTAGCCAAATACTAATTACCTATGAACTTTGTTAAATTTGATTTTGCATTAACGCAAGTTTCCAGAGCTTATCCAATCACCTTATTATCATATGTATCTTTTTTTTTGAGACGGGGTTTCACCATGTTGGTCAGACTGGTCTCAAACTGTTGACCTCAGGTAATCCACCCGCCTTGGCCTCCCAAAGTGTTGGGATTACTGGCGTGAGCCACGGCACCCAGCCTTATCATATGTATTTTAAATGTGATTCTTAAAAAAGCAACCACACCAGGGGCGCAGCTGTATCCAGCTTCATGAGGGTGGACGTGCTATGTGTTCTTATGACACGATACCTGGCACCAGAAATCAGATACTAGGATGAGGAAGCAGCTTGATGCAGACCTCTGAGGTGTCCTTACCTGAACAGGACTGGGTGCAGGATGACTTCCACCATGTTGGCTTTGCTGCTGTCCAGTGGGGGTAGCTGAAGGCTGAGGGTGTGGAGTATGTGGGTGCAGGGTAGCGTTAGGGTGCGCATACTGCTGAGCAAGGGAGCCCGTGGAAACTACAGTGAAAGAAAAAGGAGCATGTACACAACCAGTGTGTGAAAACTTCAATGGCTCCTCTATGCCTCAACTAAACTTTCTTGATGGTTACAATGCATAACTCACACCACTACCAATTTCTACAGCAGACTCCATTTAAACCATCCATTGTCTTGAAAAATAAGTGTAGCTATTGCTTAACAGACTAGCATTTGGTACATATAATACAGCTCTACATATGATATTAAAATCAAATTAGTTTGCATTTGCTCTTAATAACAGTCACTAGGTTTTCCCAAAAAGACAACCTGAAAGCATAGGCAGAAACTACTCAAACAACTGCTATCTAGGCATGTGCTCTTTAGCACAAGGCCATCATCTGGCTAACCTCACCATGCTACTGCCCTGGAGCAATGTCCTAAGGGCACATACTATATTGGGTGGGGTGGGGAGGCCAGCGCTGTGTAAGGGACCTGGCAAGGCCAGGGATCTATCATCAGGGCAAATGACCACAATCTCTCTCAGCCAATCATAGGAGCCCCTCTGACACTCAGTTTACTTCCCAAGCCCTAATTGAGGATCTCCCACTTTTGCTTCATAAAATAAACACAGAAAGGAAACTCCCTTCTGAGTGCTGCAGCCCTTTAGAAAAAATTTTACTAGAATAACTTCAAAGGAAACATGATGCCCCAGTTTAAGTCAAAATAAAGATAAGAACTCAAAGCCAATTATTTGTGAATCTCAGCATGGGCCACACCTTGGCACAAAACCATTTCTTCAGGTCTCTCTTTTTTTTTCCTTTTCTTTTTTTTTTTTTTGAGATGTAGTCTCATTCTGTTTCCCAGGCTTACTGCAACCTCCACCTCCTGGGTTCAAGTGATTTTCCTGCCTCAGCCTCCCAAGTAGCTGAGATTACAGGCATGCGCCACCATACCCGGCTAATTTTTGTATTTTTAGTAGAGATGGGGTTTCACCATGCTGGTCAGGCTGGTCTCAAACTCCTGACCTCAAGTGATCTGCCTACCTCAGCTTTCCAAAGTGCTGGGATTACAGGCGTGAGCTACCATGCCCGACCTGTTAATGTGTTTCAAAAACAGTAAGTTGAGAATCAGAAGCACAGGAGGATGTGTTCACTACTTCCAGTGACTATGGACAACACACTGATGATACAAATCTAACCTGCAAGTGGCTATGAGCCACATGTTCTCAGAGTGTTCTCAAGACAACTCTAACAAGGCATGATTCCCAGCCCTCTTGAGAAATGAATTATAAAATCCGTTAAAATAATTACCCCATACACAGAAATGATTCCAAAATAATTCCTCATGTTCTTCATATAACGTGTTAGCAAACACAGACTTATGCAGGACTGACTGGGGAGAGAAGCAAGCACAGCTTTGGGACCAGGCGCCCTAGCTCCAGCAGTCTGGTAGGCAAGGCTGCTGAGTCATCAGCATAGATGACTCTGGGTATATCCCATATAAATGGTGTGCAGACGGTTAGGCTAGGCACATGGAGCGGTTCTATAATGCTAGGTGTGGTAGGGCTAAGGGCCACCAACACTCCAGCCCAAACAGTTATGTCTCCAGTTGCAAATTTCTCTCTTAGCAGAGGAGAAGGCCAGGCAAAGAGCCAATTCTAGGATCACCTACCTGTGCATCCACTGCCAATGCCACAGCTGTCATAAATATTCTTTCATACCCAGTTTAGATTGAATAAAGCAGTTTTGTTTATACACTGGAAAAAAATTTCCCAGACTGCAGGTATTAACATATGCCAGAACATTTTAACAAGAAAACTGTGGCAACATATTCTCTGCATGTTTTTAAGAGTAGTGAATGTCTTCTGGGAGCCGATACAATGTACAACTGCCTTCCTGAGCTTCACAGTCCCATGAGTCTATAAAGACAGTCCTTTTCTGCTAACTCGCTGCTTATTAACATGCCTTCCATCATCATCTTACTCATTAAGTTTACTTGCAGCTCCCCTAAATTGTGTAGGTGCTGACTTGGTCTGAAGAACATCCGATGTAAATTTTGAAACTGAGTTTTGCTTGTTCTTGTAAAAATCTTACATTCGTTTTTAAAATGCATTTGTTTGTTTTTATTTTATTTTTGATATAGCCTTGCTCTGTCACCCAGGAGGCTGGAATGCAGTGGCACAATCTTGGCTCACTGCAACCTCTGCCTCCTGGGTTCAAGCAATTCTCCTGCCTCAGCCTCCTGAGTAGCTGGGACTACAGGAACGCACCACCACGTCCAGCTGATTTTTGTATTTTTAGTAGAGATGGGGTTTCACCATGTTGGCCAGACTGGTCTTGAACTCCCGGCCTCAAGTGATCCACCCACCTTGCCCTACCAAAGTGTTGGGATTAAAGGCATGAGCCACTTCACCTGGCCTAAAAATTTATTTCTGAATAATAAAAAAACCACATGTAGCTAAGTAGCTACTAGGCTGGACAGCACACTTTTTTTCTCACTCTGTTGCCAGGCTGAAGTTCAGTGGTGAGATCTCTGCTCACTGCAACCTCTGCCTCCTGGGTTCAAGTAATTCTCCTGTCTCAGCTTCCCAAGTAGCTGGGACTACAGGTGCCCACCACCACACCCAGCTAATTTATTTGTATTTTTAGTAGAGACAGGGTTTCACCATGTTTGTCAGGCTGGTCTCAAACTCCTGACTCAGGTAATGTGGCCACCTCAGCCTCCCGAAGTGCTGGGATTAGAAGAGTGAGCCACTGTGCCCAGCCAACAGAGCAATTTTTGTAGCACATTTCTATCATCACAAAAAGTTCTATTGGATGGTGATGTCTACAGTTGTCATGGTCCCTTACTGTTAAACCATTAGCACTAACCCCTACCCCCACCCCTAGCCTCTTAAAAATGTCATTTGTAGCAATATTAAATCTGTCTAAGGAAAAGCAAATCCCAAATTCTATTCATGGGGATTCATAAAGATAAGAGTACGAAATCTCAGAGGGGTTTTTTTTTTTTGAAACTTTATTTATTCAAGAAATTTTGCACTAAAGTTTTAAATTTCACTTTTAATTACCTTCTAAGCAAAGTATTAAGAATATTAAAAAGTAACAATAAATATGGAGAATAATTATGCCCATGAAGTCTCATAATTAATTCATCAACTGGAAAAAATGTAAAAATCTTGAAATCATTTGATGAAAAAAAGATGAAATCTTTTTACTATGCATTTTTAAAAGGCATCTCTGCAATTTAAGTTTACCAGTATTTAAAGACTATAATACAGTGTTCTGATCTATAGCTAATTTGCATGCATAGCACAAATACCAAGCTCAGTGAATGTACATGGGCTTTGTTTAAAAAAAAAAAAAATCCTTTCTCTACATGAAACTTAAGTAGCCTTCATAAAATCTTTTAGATTAAAGATAATCAAAGATGCATTGCTTCTTTGGGCCAGACTTCGTCCAGAAGTTTCCCACTGAGTGTTCCTTGATATAAATATTTATTATTCTAAACATGTGATCAGTCAAATCCTTAATAACACTAACCAAATTCCAAAACTAGTTTCCTCAGCCATAATCTCATGGAAACAAATTCAGTATATAAAGCTGTGTTTAATTTGTAACTAGGTTTTGTCATTTTGACTTTGGATGCAAAAGTCATAAGAGATCACCAGCATTGCGAAACTTGAAAAGTAAAACAAAACAAAATCTTCCAACTTGTAAATCTGATGCTAAATTCAGAAAAAGGGAAGTGAAGAAAAGTTGAAAAGTCCAGGGAATAAAAGGCAACCTGACCAAACCATGGCAAAATGGCTTAGAAGAGGGGAAAATGAAGCAGCAAATTAAATTAGTAGCCCAACTATTAGTTTCCTTTAAAAAAAAGTACTGATACTCCCTTTTAGGGGAAGTTGTGCTAAAGCAATTAAGACTTAGGTGAAATGATTAAAGACCTTTTAGCTACTTACCAGGAAAATGACACCAAACTACTAACAGAGACAGTAAGATGGTGAGGATAACTACATTTGAGACTTCAAATTAAGTACATAATAAAAACACCCACTGACACTATCTTTTACACACTACAATCATAGACATAGTTTCCCCTTTAAGAGTATATACATACAGCAAGACTCCTTTTTAAAGAGCATCTATTAAAGGATTAAATTTAACATCTCCTAGCACCAAATAAATTTTTATATATACGTATCAGCTTATTTTTGGATACCAAGTCACGGTATAATTAACGAAAATTTAAGGTCAAATGCATTTTAAATGCTAATATGGCATTTAGTAGAGTCATTGAGTCACCCCAAAATAACTCAAAATGTTGTCCCTAACATAAAATTTGAATACTTAATATCTTCTAGAATACAATGTTTCATACAAGGTGACACTTTTTTTTTTTTTTTTTTTTTTTTTTTGAGACGGAGTTTCGCTCTTGTTACCCAGGCTGGAGTGCAATGGCGCGATCTCGGCTCACCGCAACCTCTGCCTCCTCGGTTCAGGCAATTCTCCTGTCTCAGCCTCCTGAGTAGCTGGGATTACAGGTACGCACCACCATGCCCAGCTAATTTTTTTTATTTTTAGTAGAGACGGGGTTTCACCATGTTGACCAGGATGGTCTCGATCTCTTGACCTCGTGATCCAGCCGTCTCGGCCTCACAAAGTACTGGGATTACAGGCGTGAGCCACCGCGCCCGGCAAGGTGACACATATTAATGGCATAAATTTCTTAAGGATTTCTACCAATATTAGTACACTTCCTATTAAAATACCAAAGTCCATGTCTAGCCTTATTTTTGTTTTTATTTTTTATTTTGAGACAGAGTCTTTCTCTGTTGCCCAGGCCGGAGTGCAGTGGAGTGATCTTGGCTTACTACAACCTCCGCCTCCAGGATTCATGGAATTCTTGTGCCTCAGCCTCCCAAGTAGCTGGGACTACAGGTGCACGTCACCATGCTTTTTGTAGAGACAGGGTTTCACCATGTTGGCCAAGCTGTTCTTGAACTCCTGGCCTCAAGTGATCCACCTACCTCGGCCTCCCAAAGTGCTGGAATTACAGGCGTGAGCTACCACGTCCGGCCCTTATTTTTCAAAATTATCCTACAAATAGGAAAAACACACCTTACAAGTTTTCCTTTCCAAAAGAGAGCTCTGCCCAGACTCTCTCCATGAAGGAGCAACCATTTCTGTACTTTTTGCCAGGTGGGAAGAGGAGATCTGTGCTGTCCAAGACAATGACCTGAGAGGTCATGCTCTCTTGATTAAGCTCAAGACATCCTGAGGGGACTGCCTCCTGAATATCTTATTTTTTGAGACAGAGTCTTGCTCTGCCACCCAGGCTGGAGTAAAGTGGCACGACCTTGGCTCACTGCAACCTTGGCCTCTGGGGTTCAAGCGATTCTCCTGCCTCAGCCTCCCAAGTAGCTGAGACTACAGGCACTCACCACCACGCCTGGCTAATTTTTGTATTTTTTGGTAGAGATGGAGTTTCACCATGTTGGCTAGGCTGATCTTGAACTCCTGATCTCAGATGATCCACTTGCCTCAGCCTCCCAAATTGCTGGGATTACAGGTATGAGCCACTGTGCCTGGCCCTTCCTGAATATTTTAAACTTTGAGCTATGCACAAGGCAGAATGGTTTTTCCCTTAGTATTTCATCAGTTCTATTCAATTAAAAATCCTGGTAGGCATAAATTTCTTCTTATCAGGATATACATTTCACCTTATCAGGATATAAATTAACATTTTAAGTTTATACAAAGCTTATAGCTTTGGGGGTGTGTGTGTGTGTATATGGCTGTTCAAGAAAAGCTTCTCTAAACCAGAAAAACATTAGGCATTTCCCAGTCACATTCACTTGGTATGCAAAAATTGATTTCTTGCAGCTTGGGGGGTGGTGTGTGTCTGTGTGTGTATATGTACATATATATATAAAGCTGTTCAGGTAAAGTTTCTCTGAACAAGGAAAATATTAAGCATTTCCCAGTCACATTTGCTTGGTATGCAAAAATTGATTTCTGAAACAACTGCATTTTCCACTGACTCCAGCCTTCTTAAACTGGATCATATTTCCATTTTAAAAACTGAATTATTTATAGATATAAATACTTTCAATAATTTGACTCACACAAGGAAAATACTGTTCAACAAGACTATCCCTTAACATGTATTCTTTAAAAAGTGTTTTACTGTACAATTAAAAATTAGTATAAAAAACCCAACTCACTGGCAAAGTAGAAAGAAGGGCTTGTCTCCTTGTTGTATGGTAATTTGGGACATGCTGAATTTGGAAAATAGAAAGGTAAATTAGCCTTTTGAGGTGTGCATTTTCCAAATTTTCTGGAAAGGTTGACATATTAGTAATTTCTTTCTGTATTCATGCATAGTTCATTTTTCTTTAATAAAAGATGACGAGCACTTTAAACACTGCTACAGAATTTTAAAAAATAGGACTAAACCGGAAGACACTGTTCTTCTGTACTTAGGTGTCAAGCTGTCATGCTGACTTGCTTAAAAGTGAAAGGAATAAAATCATTATCTAATAAAAAGACCAACATGGCATTCTACTGAACAACCTTGATATAAATCATGTACCAAAATAAAACAGTATTTACCAAGTTTAATTCAATAGACACAATTTTGCAAAACATTACTAATGGAAATGTCATTATCCTGAAAGATTATCTGGTGATGGATCCAAAAATTTTAAAACATAGCAAGAATATAAACATGAATTTTGTAATTTCTTATTAAAACATGTCTACGTAAAGAAGTATATGGGTATATTTAAATACACCTGGAAGGATACACACCAAAATGTTAAAAGGCAGATGTCAGGTGGAGGGATAATGGGTGCTTTTCTTTTTACTTACTGTATTTTCTTACTTATCTGCATTAAACTACCAAAAACAAACCAAAAAAGGATTCTGGATCTAACTCTCCCTAATGGCTCTAGTTAGTTGGAAAGGTTGTTTTATTTCTGTTTCTGAAAGGTAAAAGCATCACCATAAAACAAAATTAGATGGATTAGAAGAGTAGATGTGAGGCCGGATGCGGTGGCTCACACCTGTAATCCCAGCAGTTTGGGAGGCCAAGGTGGGCAGATCACAAAGTCAGGAGTTCAAGACCACCCTGGCCAACAAAGTGAAATCCCATCTCTCCTAAAAATACAAAAATAAGGCCAGGCATGGTGGCTCACACCTGTAATCCCAGCACTTTGGGAGGTCGAAGCAGGTGGATCATGAGGTCAGGAGTTAGAGACCAGTCTGGCCAACATGATGAAACCCCGTCGCTTCTAAAAATACAAAAATTAGCTAGGTGTGGTGGCGCACACGTGCAGTCCCGGCTACTCGGGAGGCTGAGGCAGAAGAACTGTTTGAACCTGGGAGGCAGAGGTTGCAGTGAGCCAAGATCACGCCACAGCACTCCAGCCTAGAGACAGAGTAAGACTTCATCTCAAAAAAAAAGGGACAGACGGAAGGAGGGAAGGGAGGGAAGGGAGGGAAGGGAGGGAAGGGAGGGAAGGAAGGAAAGAAGAAAGAAGAAAGGGGAAAAAGGGGAAAAAGGGGAAAGGGGAAAGGGGAAAGGGGAAAGGGGAAAGGGGAAAGGGGAAAGGGGAAAGGGGAAAGGGGAGAGGGGAGAGGGGAAAGGGGAAGGAATTAGCCAGGTGTGGTGATGCATGCCTGTAGTCCCAGCTACTCGGGAGGCTGAGGTGGAAGAATCACTTGAACCTGGGAGGCAGAGGTTGCAGTAAGCTGAGATCATGCCACTGTACTCCAGCCTGGGCAACAGAGCAAGACTCCATCTCCCCCTGACCCCCACCAAAAAAAAAAAAAGAAGAAGAAGAAAAGAGTATATGTGAGGGAAAACAAAATTAAAGTAACTTCTTAGAAGGGATGGGGCGGAGACAATCATGAAAGTTAGATTAAGGTAAAAGAGATGAGGTTTGTGACAAAAGCCCTTTCTAAGATAGCTAGAAAGAGTAAAAGGTCAATAATTATTTAGAATGTACACATCTCCTATTTTTTCAATTTAACTGTTCAGTAATGTTAGCATATTTGTATTAAACATACTACAAATTTTAAAACAATAATGAGAATTTCAATTTGCAGTCATTAGTGGTCCTATGTTTTTAACACCTTTGGCTATGACCATAACAATTAATGAGAAAAGGTGACATAAAATTGTCACCAATATCTGGATCCATGTTCTTCTGTTTGTATTTAAAAACCTGGATAGAATGTAGCTTAAAAAGAAAAGCACGATTCATACTCAAAGTATTTGGTTCCTCTGAGAGACCTTATGGCAAGATATTTAATAAATATATATAAAATATAAATTGTTCAGGGAAGATGAGTATAAAATTAACACTTCTATGTAAGTTTGTTGTAGTTTATAAGAATGTACTTCAAATTTTGTTTATATCTGATATAAGACTTTGAAGGTTTAATAATAATTCAAATAAATCACTTAAGATTTAATGAAAAACGTGGTTTAGCAGATTAAATTATGGCTTATGATGGCATAGAACAAAACAATTTTTCCTCATATTTTGTTTAAATAAGAGACAGGGTCTTGCTCTGTAACCCAGGCTGGATTACTGGTACCATCATAGCTCACGGTAGCCTCAAAGTCCTGGGCTCAAGTGATCCTCCCATCTTGGCCTCCTGTATATCTGGGACTACAGGCACATGCACCATAACTGGCTTTTTTTTTTTTTTTTTTTTTTTTTAAATAGATGGGATCTTGCCATCTTGCCTAGACTGGTCTTGAACACCTGGGCTAACCAATCCTCTGCCTCAGCCTCCCCAAATGCTTGAATTACAGGTGTGAGCCATCATGTCCAGCTCCTAGTATCCTTTTTAGGGTCTGAAGTACCCCCAAGGGAATCTTGATTAGTGACAATCACACCAAGTGCACAGCTTTGCCCCTACCCTAGTCTGCCTCCTTACAGACAGCAATTAAACACCACCTGTGTAAACTGCAGGAGAGTAGTTCAGATTTGGCTGACTAACTTTCCCTTGGCATGAAAGAACTGGCTTTGATGACTAGTTCATTCCAGATTTCACTGGACATTAGATCTAGTGCTTTGTTTTGTTTGCAATATTTCCTATTTATCCACTCATGAATCCACTTTGGGGTCCAAGGCCTACTGCTCTTCAAACGGACATGTTCTGGGAAGTAGTTATGAAAATCATCAGTGCCTCAAACACAGTATTTACCATATAGGCTGTTTCAAAACAAATGAACATTCATCCAAAAATGAAGCCAGATATTGGCAGTGAATAAACACAATGGGGAGAAAGATTCTGCTCAACATTACGGTATTATTGTTACAGTGTCTCAAAATCATGGATATCCAAATAGGGAAATTTTAGCTCAAAAGTTTCAGATCTTATTCCAAGGGGAATATGCCAGAAAATGGAAGGAAAGGGATGTTTTTTTCACTTGTTAAATCATGATGTATTCACCAGGAAAGTATAAACAATCATAATGAACTTTTAATCTAAGCCTTTAGCAAACTGGAAAATTGTTAAAATATATACAAGTTACATAAAAGCCAGAGTGATGACTGAATCGTGCCTTTTCATGCATATTCAGTCCTGGTTAAGACAACTAAAGACAAGCCAAATGACAGGAGATCATAAGCAAAATAATAAACCAAGTCAGTTTGTCAGTATCTTTTTCAATTAAATTACAGATGAGCTTCTTGAAAAAAATGTTTTCCAAAACATAGCAATCACACAATTTTTTATTTAAAATGCATAATCCACAATAAAAAGTTGAAAGTGATAATGTGGAAAATTAAGACTGGACTTATGAAACTAAACACCTTTAATCATGTACAAATTCCTATCAGAGGTGAGCCTTTGTGGCAGACAAGAGCCTCCAGGAAGAAAGCATAAGCTCTGGGTTACAGGTAACAGGATGACTGTTGCTGCCCAAGTCCTATTCTCATTAACCTACAGAAATGTTAAAACTTTTATTCTTCAAAAAGGACAGAGATGATATGAAAAGCAATGATGTCTCAAGAAGACGGTTTGAGAGAAATCTGTAAATTTTTTTTTTTTTTGAGACAGTCTCAGTCTGTTACTCAGGCTGGAGTGCAGTGGCACAATCTAGGCTCACCGCAACCTCTGCCTCCTGGGGTCAAGCAATTCTCCTGCCTCAGTCTCCCGAGTAGCTGGGATTAAAGGTGCCTGTCACTGTGTCTGGCTAATTTTTGTATTTTTAATAGAGATGGGGTTTCACCATGTTGGCCAGGCTGGTCTTGAACTCCTGATCTCAGGTGATCTGCCCACCTTGGCCTCCCAAAGTGCTGGGATTACAGGTGTAAACTAACACCCCCAGCCTGAAATATGTAAATTCTTGAATAACTCAATTTTGCCTAGACATACTCATTCAGGACATCTAAACTTAAAAAATAAACATTTTATATTCTTAGTATTTAAAAAAGTTTAAAGAGGTTTTAAAAATGAAATGTCCATGTAGTTGCATGTAACCATAATCTCATAGCAGTACACTTTTCAATTGTATGAATAAACCAAAATTTGTCCCCTACTCCAAAAAAACAAAAATGCAAATAGGAAAACTAAGTAACACTATAGGAATTATCAGAAACATTCAAAACAAAACATCTTAATGAAATCAGTACTATTTAAAAGTATATTCTGAAAAACATTTGAAGCAATCCATTAATTCTATATTATAAGATACACAAGTGGACATTTTATTTTAAATTATCAACAATGAAAAATCTATTATTTTGGTACTTTAAACAGCTGCTAAGTTGATCTACACAAAGTTCTCCGTTTAGTCACAAAACAAAGATGGGTTTTTTGCTTATTATTCTCACATATAAATACTGCTTAGTTTTACATAAAATACTTCTCATTTTCATTTCAGCATTCTGTTTACATTGGTTATATTTAAAGTGTGAATCATGTCTAAAATAGATCTAATATTACACAATTTCAACCACTTAAAATACAGCATGATATAGAAGCATAACATTATCATTATAACAAACAGCAAAAAAAATATGTATTGCCAGTGACCCTCAGAGCAAGTAGGGAAGCAGAATGTTTTCATGCTGGAGAACGCTTTTATGTTTTTATTATGATAAAATTATGTTGCATGCCATAGGCAGGATATACCAAATCGTAATAATACTGATGAGGAAGAGGAGAAAGGTACCTTTCTCCACAAAGATGCTTTGCCATTATATACATCATTATATTTTAGTTAAGGAGAGAGATCTGAAGACCAGGTACAGAAGTAGAAACTATGCCAAAACGTGTAAAGCAAGTCAGGGAGAGAAATAGGTTCATCTTTTCCTTTAGATTCTTGGCCCTCAATGTCATAAAAGGTCAGATTATTCTTAAGAATATGTTTTCAGAAATTTAAAACAAATTAAGAGTCACACGCACTGGAAGAGACAAACAAAGTGCTTCCTACCATACATCGCATGCGTCTGCTCATGAGCCCCGTACTGAGTTGCTGAAGAAGATACTAAACCAGGCTGGGCATGTGTTGGTGGTGCCATCATTCTAGCATTACCCTGTATTACAGGACTATAGACATGAGGATGCTGTGTTCAAACAAAAAATAAAGAAAGAACATTAACACTGCAAATAGAGAAAAGGAGACTTTAGTTAAGATTTTTAACTCCATGGTTTCCAGATTATCAGAAACAACTGTAAACTCTCAACTTTTTCTTGGCTGCTTCCTTTGAAACTCTTACAATGATCAGTAACCTTCGAATATATATTAAAAAGGGTTCCCAAATCCTTAGCTATCTACCCTACCACAACACAAAAGTGAAAATTATAAAGGAAAATCCCTTTACCATATTAAAAGTTTTTTAAAATGGTACAAACATTAAGAGTTAGCCCCTACCAGCCTTACCTGAGACTGATAATGTGGCACATGCTGAACAAGGGGCTGATTTGGGAACTGCTGAGGACTGTAGGCAACATATTGCGTGGAGTAAGCTGGTGGAGTGGCTGCAATTGGTGGGCCTGCTGCTGACGCTGGGTGCATCATGGCACTCTGATGATGCTGGTCTTGCCGCTGCTGGGGCATATTTGGTACTGCAGAAAAAAAAGATGACTGCCTATTAAACAGTATCTCCACAGCATAATACATGTTTTCATATAGTCTAGGAGGTTCTGCATGATTTGACCCTGCATCTGTGTCTCTGATGCTATATTATATCACTCCCACTTCTGCCATTCTGGGTTGTTTTCCTATCATGTATGCTAGTCCTCAGCCTCAAACACCACTCCTAATCCCAGCTGTGATACTCCTGCCTCATCCCTCAGGTGTCAGCTTGAAAGCAGCTTCCTCAGAGAGACTTTCTCTCATGGCCCTCAGACTTAAGTCCCTGTATCGGACTCTCACAGCATTATGAAATCACTTTTCCTTCATACCACTTCTCATATGGTAATTGCTGGGATGGGCACTATGTTCATTTTAAGAAAAATAAAAGCATGACCAAAGAGCCAAAATAGATAAAAAATAAAATATCTTCCAAAAAAAATTAGCTGGGCATGGTGGCCCATGCCTGTAATCCCAGCTATTCAGGAGGCTGAGGCAGGATAATTGCCTGAACCCAAGAGGCGGAGGTTGCAGTGAGCCGAGATCGCGCCATTGCACTCCAGCATGGGTAACAAGAGTGTAACTCCGTCTCAAATAAATAAATAAATAAATAAAATATCTTATTTCCTACCACTGAATTCTTGTAACATTTCCCATTCTTTCTCCAACCCAGTATAACACATTACCATGTAGCATATTGGAGGTTTCTAAATAGCTCTTTTCAAAGACACTCTATGTCTTGTCTTAATCCACACAGGAGGTCAGCATGTAAGGTTCTCTCCCTGTTACAACTCTAGTTAAGAATTCAGCTCAACTGTTGTCTGTCTCCCATGTGAAGTTTTTCCCAGTTCCTCCAGCACAAGCTGGCTGCTTCCCCTGTGCCTTTCCTCACGCATCTCTTACAACACTATTGTCTGTGATCTATTTCCGGTGTGGCATTAACCAATCCACTTCAGGAGAAGAATTGTGGAATGACTGCTTACAACTAGGTATAAGGCACAAAGAATATAGAACTTGGTGTGTTTATAAAATCGTAAGAACTGATTATATAAGTAACTGCAAATTTGTGGCTAAACATTCATTGACTTGCTGAAATTTGGGAGAGCTAGTCACATATTATTTTATCTATGCAGAAAAGCAAAACTGAAATTTTTTTTTCTTACTCTTATTATTTTTTTTCTTGCTCTCCCTCCCTAGAAAATTTTTTCTATATTTAATCTTGGATGTACGTATTTAAAAAAAGCACCTCCTTTTGGTAAACAAAAAGCCACTGAAAACTTGTATCGCTTTTATAAAATGAAAGTTTGGGCCAGGCGCGGTGGCTCAAGCCTGTAATCCCAACACTTTGGGAGGCCGAGGCGGGTGGATCACGAGGTCGAGAGATCGAGACCAACCTGGTCAACATGGTGAAACCCCGTCTCTACTAAAAATACAAAAAATTAGCTGGGCATGGTGGCGTGTGCCTATAATCCCAGCTACTCAGGAGGCTGAGGCAGGAGAATTGCCTGAACCCAGGAGGCGGAGGTTGCGGTGAGCCGAGATCGCGCCATTGCACTCCAGCCTGGGTAACAAGAGCGAAACTCCGTCTCAAAAAAAAAAAAAAAAAAAAAAAGAAAGTTTGTCCAACTATGCTCACTAACTGAGCTTAAACTATTCATTATTATTACTTTGTTACTTATTACCTTCCTGCATATTTTAAAAATAATAAAAAAGCTAATAAGCATACTATGGTACAATTGTTTGGGTATCATGTGTTTTTCTCCACCAATTCTCATGTTAAAATTTGATCCCCAGTCCAGGCGCAGTGGCTCACACTTTTTAATTCCTGCACTTTGGGAGGTCAAGGTAGGCAGATTGCTTGAGCCTAGGAGTTTGAGACCAGCCTGGGCAACATGGGGATACCCTGTCTCCACACACACACAAAAAATATATAAAAATATTAGCCAGCAGCGGTGGTATGCATCTACGGTCCCAGTTAGTCTGCAGGTTGAGGTGGGAGGAACACTTGAGCCAGGGAGGTAGATGCTGCAGTGAGCCATAAATTACACCACTCCACTCCAGCCTGGGCTTGGTTTCTTTTCCTCCCTCCCCCAACTCTGTCTCAAAAAAGGGGAGGGGAGGGAGGAAAAGAAACCAAGCCCTTGGCTTTGCCTGTTATTTGAAAAATGTTAAAAATATCTTTATCCAACACCTCAAGGAATGGAATTTAGTGAAGGAGCAGGGTGAAAACTAACATACAGACAGCAATAGCCTTCATATATGGTACTTTATACTTACTTCATAAATAATTACTTAAAGATGCAATGGAAGAGAAGTCCCTGCATTACATTAACACTAAAAAAAGAACATACCGGCCGGGCGCGGTGGCTCAAGCCTATAATCCCAGCACTTTGGGAGGCCGAGGCGGGTGGATCACGAGGTCGAGAGATCCAGACCATCCTGGTCAACATGGTGAAAACCCGTCTCTACTAAAAATACAAAAAAAAAAAAAAACTAGCCGGGCGTGGTGGCGCGTGCCTGTAATCCCAGCTACTCAGGAGGCTGAGGCAGGAGAATTGCCTGAGCCCAGGAGGTGGAGGTTGCGGTGAGCCAAGATCGCGCCATTGCACTCCAGCCTGGGTAACAAGAGCGAAACTCCGTCTCAAAAAAAAAAAAAAAAAAAAAAAAAGAACATACCTAAGGCATACACTGAAAAAAATGCACAAAACCTTGTAAGGATAAACTTGATGTTTATTTATTTATTTTCTTTAAGACACAATCTCACTGGGTCACCCAAGCTGAATAGCAGTGGTGACTTACTGCAATCTCTGCCTCCCAGGTTCAAGTGATTCTCCTATCCCAGCCTCCAGAGTAGCCAGGACTAGAGGTACGCACGAAGACGCCTGGCTAATTTTTTTCTTATATTTTTAGTAGAGATGGGGTTTTACCATCTTGGTCAGGTTGGTGTTGAACTCCTGACTTCAGGTGATCTGCCCACCTCCGCCTCCCAAAGTGTTGGGAATACAAGTGTGAGCCACTGTGCCCAGCCAAGGATAAACTTTAATATGCTATTGAAGATATACTTTGAAGACTCAACATCATAAAGATATCAATCATTTCTTCTCACATTAATTTGTAAGTTTACTGTGATTCTGGACTGCCACGGTAGCTCATGCCTGTGGTCCCACCACTTTGTGAGGCTGATGCACGCAGACTGCTTGAGCTCAGGAGTTCAAGACCAGCCTGGGCAATATGGTGAAACCCTGTCTCTACAAAAAATACAAAAATTAAGCCAAGCACAGTGGTGCTCTCCAGTAGTCCCAGCTACTTGGGAGGCTCAGGTGGGGGTATTGCCTAAACCAGAGAAGTTGAGGCTACAGGATGCCCAAATCATGCCACTGTACTCCAGTCTAGGTAACAGAGCCAGACCCTGTCTCTAAATAGTTAGAAGAAATCCACAAGTTTATACTGATATTAAGAACAAAGAACAACAAAAAACCACCTCATTGGTTACCTTTGGAGGGTAACAGAAAACCAACTCATTATTTTGAAGACCGCCTTAAAAAGGGAAATTATGAACATTTTAAATGACCTATCCTGAGAAAGTTTGTAACCAAATAGCTGGACATGGGAACATTTTTCTTCTATTTTTTTTTAGAGTTTCACTCTTATTGCCCAGACTGGAGCACAATGGCATGATCTTGGCTCACAGCAACCTCTGCCTCCTGGGTCCAAGCGATTCTTCTGCCTCAGCCTCTCAAGTAGCTGGGATTACAGGCATGCACCAACACACCTGGCTAATTTTGTATTTTTAGTCGAGACAGGGTTTCTCCATGTTGGTCAGGCTGGTCTCGAACTCCTGACCTCAGGTGATCCACCACCTCAGCCTCCCAAAGTGCTAGGACTACAGGCGTGAGCCACAGTGCCAAGTTTTTCTTTATAAAAATATTCCAGGTAATAACTGAAGAAGGGATGAAAGAAAAGGAATGTCACCATTTTGCAACCCCCGAGGAAATAATGGATCTTGGGCTAGACAATTATCATCAATGGCTACTTTAAAAATAAAAAAAAAAGTAAGATGCTAAAGGGAAGTATTATTTCTTGGACAGATAAAACTTCTAAGAACTCACTGGTGTTCCTATCAGGAAAAAGACTAATTACATTATACGATTCCTCATGAAAGTACATACATCTGTGAAACATTGAAAAAAAATACAATCCAATCTTATCAAGCCTCTGTTAGCTACTATCAGTTTACAAAGATGGCAGAGGACAGAAGTCTACTTTAAATATCAGCACAGGGATATAGTCAGCAAAATTCAGACGGTGGGAAAAAAAAGAAGACAAGCTGGATTGTACAAAGATATGAAGAGGACAAAAACTAGGGGAAAAACGAATTAAAACTGTGAGAGCTAGGTGCAGTGGCTCATGCCTGTAATCCTGGTACTTTGGGAGGCCAAGAAAGGGCAGATTGGTTGAGCTCAGGAATTCCAAACCCTGTCTCTACAGAATATACAAAAGTTAGCCAGGTATGGTGGCATGCACCTTTAGTCCCAGCTACTTAGGAGGTTGAAGTGGGAGGATTACCTGAGCCCAAGAGGTCGAGACTGCGCTGAGCTGAGATCATGCCACTGCACTCCAGCTTGGGTCAGAGTTAAGACTCTGTCTCAAAAACCAAACCAAACCAAACCAAACCAAACCTATGACTTCGCTGGGTGCAGTAGCTCATGCCTAGTACTTTAGGACGCTGAGATGGAAAGATAACTTAAGCCCTGTAATCCTAGTATTTTAGGAGGCTGAGATGGAAACATAACTTAAGCCCTGGAGTAGTTTAGGACCAGCCTGGGCAAAAGGGAAAGACTCTGTCTCCAAAAAAAAAAAAGAAGAAAGAAAAAAAGGGAAAGGGGGGGGGAGGGAAGAAAGACAGGCAAGGTGGCCTATGCCTGTAGTTGTAGCTACTCAAGATGCTGAGGCAGCAGTGAGCTATGATTGCACTCCTGCACTCCAAGCCTGG